GACAAGTGCCTGATATTAGGCATTTTCTCACAGGACAGTTAAGAGAATTTGTGTGGAATAAGTACATCCAATACAGTTCTTTTACTATAGACTGCTAGGTTAGGTAGAAATATAGGCAGTCAGATAGGACCAGGCCCTCGACAGTAGTCAGTACAGATACAAGTGTGGGTGGAGATGCCTTCGGAAAGGGCCAAACCTCCAGGCAAAAGATGGAATAACTCCATCTATATGCTGCCCCTAAGGACGAACAGCAGTAACTTGGTAATCTAAATGTATATCAATTGCCTTGGGTGAGGGACCAAAACCTCCCTCTCAGGAAAAGGTCCCTGTTCAGTCCATGGTCCATGTACACTTGCTATGTGACTTGCTTCCCTATTTGATCCCCATTTAATCAATACTACCTCAGCGGTTATATTAAATAATCTTATTGGTTGATTATAGTTTTGTCTCATCTCACACCCCCTTCTCATTTCCCATTGGATCAATGTTTCCCAACTGGCTACACTTGTTATCTTATTAGGTGATTATAGTTTTTTCCACAGTAGACCCACCTCACCTCATGGGTTACCGCTATAAAATTCTCTTGAAAAGTAGGGTCCTTAGAAACCCATTCAGGACCCTTTTTGTCTCTCTTAGCTTTCTTTCCCCAAATAAATGTTTTCAGCTCTTAACCTCTGTTGTTTCTAGATCTTTTGATTTTATAAAACATAAACTCTGTTAGCAGGTTGGGAGTTCTGATATTTCCTTGATATTATCTGGATTATTTGGTATTCATATCATCCCTATGTCACTTGCAGCTATGCTTTTTGTCCTATAAGTGAGACTTAGACACCCAGGGAAAAGGGCCTGGTTCCATGTCTGAGAAATTAGGAGATAAATATTAAAGATAAAATAGGAATTTCTCCCTCATCCTGTCCGCTCTTCACTATATGACACGTGTCTGCCTCTCTGAGCTCTTCCATTTGCCATGTCAAACAGAACTGTAAGGCAGGACGGTCAAACAGCATGGTACATCTTCATCCTTCTTCAGTTCATTTGATGGGGCCCTTTGAAGGACAGCTGCCCCTTTCCCTTGGCTCCGTACTCTGCAAAGTCAAACCAAGGTTCAAACCAGAGAACACGACTTCCTCAATCATGGCTAACCAGCTGTAACAGGGTGGACTGCCTGAGGGACTAGTGATACTCCCAGGGCTGGGAGTCCTGGCTTCTGGGTTCTCTTCACAGGCAAGTTCCAGAGACCAGTGCTCCTGTGCAGTGGGAGCAGAGCTTGGATGGCGGACATGGTGCCTAAGCCTTGGCTGCAGCTGGCAGCTGCCCTCTGACTGCTGGGCCAAGTGCAGTGTAGAGGTTGTCCAGATCCTCTTGGTTGGCACGCAGGACAGGGACTTCACTTTAACATCCAGAGCTGGAAGGGAGCGCCACACATTTGAACAGTAGGGGTGTTTGGGCAATTGGCCTCAAATGGATGAATGGCTCTCACAGAGAGTGTGCAGATGACCAGGTCCAGAGGTTTCTGAAGGCTGAGGGAGACTGCAGAGAGTCTAGAAGATCTGTGCTTGAGCTCCGGCATAGTCTGAGCTGGCAGGCCTTCACTGGATGTGTAAGGAAGCAGAGCCCTACAGGAGTTCTAGCTGCCAAGGCCCCATGATGGTTTGTGGAGGGCTGTGGTAAGAATCTGGAGCCCTGCTTCTCAGTTCTCAGCCTCTGTCACTGTTTCAAGCTGCCGTCATTACCACCTGTCCCTTTTTCCGTCCCCCAGGTGTTCAGTGTCCACCGTACCAGTGTTTAGACTTCTGGATGTCAGTATGGCCTCCATAGCCTGCTGTGTTTTTGTCTCTTGGATCCTAGCACTGCAGCCTTCTCCTCAGAGCCCTCCTTCCTGGCCCTCCTTTTCTGTCTTACCTCCTGCCCCATCTTTCCTTTGCAGATCCTTTTTTCAAGGTCCCTAAACGTGTTCCTTCCCTATGGTTCCACTTTTGAGGACAGGCTCTTGTTCTTTATCCCATCTATCCATGCAGCCTCCATTCCAAGGGAACATCTTGAGCCAGACCCCACATTCCCACATCTCTTTTCTGCAATGATAGACCCTTCCTAGGACATCCCCTGGTATAAGGCTCCAACCTTTCCCAGCCTCTAACCTGCTTGCCAGCAGAGGCCTATTATTAGCAGGGAACTCAGCTCAGTACCAAAGCTGTCATCAGCAAGCACACAATGTCATAAAGAAGGTAAGAGAGAACGAGGAATTTTTCAGGTTCTGGGACATCTGGAGATACCCAAAAATTTACACAAGACCTTCAAAAACTTTATCCACTGATGTGCAAGACTGCCAGAGAACTTTAACCATAGAGGTTTATTAAAATCTTCCCACCTGATGCCTGCCTTCTTTCCATCCTTATAAAAGGGACGCAGTTCTCTTTGTTCCCTATAGAAAATCTTTTCACTTTTTGTTTGCACACAGGCATAATAAATTCAATGCCATGTTGCCTTTACATGAGCCTGGTGGGCTCTGCTATCTCCCCTCCCCATACTTGGCACCTCAAATCCAACATTTCCTTTTTTTTTTTTTTTTTTTGATAGTTCAGGCTGGACCTGAACTCACTATGTGGCCCAAGCTGCTTTCAAACTCAGCAATCCTCCTGCCTCAGAGTCCAGAGGGATGGGATTGCAGGCATGTGATGTCATTTCCAGGGAGGTGCACCGTTATCCGTACTTGGATGGCTTTTATTCTGTATGGCCTATCTATGACATCCTATATTATCCTTCTCTAGGACTAGGGTTTCATAATTTTCAGTGCCTAAAAAAAATCTTTCTTTCCCCAATTTCAAATTTAAGGAATTCCTAGTCATAACCACTCATTTCACAAATATTTTCTAATCATAATCGCTGGAAAAGTTGGCTCTAGGGGCTGGAGGTTCTGTGGTGAAAAGACAAGACTTGAAGTCTGCCTTGCGGGGGAGGGGCATAAGAGGAATAGAGGAGAGGAATTAAAATACTTCATGTAAAATCTATCTATCTATCTAAGTTTGCCTTGCTATGTAGTTCAGGCTGGCCTTGAATTCATTATTGAAAGAGTTTTGGCCCAGATAAGACACTGTAGGGGGTGAAGCCTCAAGCGGAACCAAGGAGCTCCTATCTCCCCCACCCCCAGGAATTTACCTGTGGCTATCTTCCCCACCCTTAGGAATTTGCCCCAGCACTAAACGAGTGCCAATGCGATACCTGTGCATCTCTAATGGCCCTAGGGCACCACCTTAAGGTTAGGCTACTTAAATACCCTCAAGCCACAAGTCCCCCAGAGAGAAAGCCAGACTCTAGCGTGGGGGTGTGTGTGGGGGGGTGTTATTTTCTCTCTCCGCGTTCTCAGAATAAAGGCCTCTTTTGTCTTATACTTCTCATCTGTTGGATGCACTATATAATCTTATCAATTATGTAGCACAGGCTGGTCTTGAATTTATGGCAATCCTCCTGCCTTAGCCTCCCAAGTGTTCAGATTACATGCTGGAGCCACCACACTGGGTTATATCATTTCTATTAAAGAATAGCATGGAACTAAAACAGTGTATGATGTGTCTGACAGTGAGTATGAGGGTGGAGGCCAAGGACATTGCAAACATGGAGAAGAGGTATAAAGTACCTATCAGTATGAATTCAATTCTGCTTTACGAATCCCGGGCTCTGGGTAGGGAGACTAACAGGCCTCTTAAGACGTCTATGTTCTAATCCTTAGTCTATGAATGTGCTCTACGAGTTAAAGCTATACATGGCACTGAGGTTGCTGTCAGCTGACCTTAAAATGGGGAGTTCCCTGGGGGAGTGTAGTGTCTCAGTGTACTCACTAACATCTTTAACTCTGGAAGACACATAAGAGAGCTAGAGGAAGAGATGGGAGGACAGAAGCATGGCCAGGGAGATGCTGTGTTGCTAGTTTTAAAGATGGAGGAAGTTGACCAAACCCAAGAAGGGGAGCAGCTTTTAAAAGGTGAAAATACAAAGAAAATGAACTCTCTTCTACTTGACAGAAAGGAACCCAAAGGAAGTCTTCTACAGCAACACCTTGATTGTAGGCCAGTACGACTCATGTTGTACTGCTGAACAGCAGAACCGTAAAATAGTAAGACTGTATTGTTTTAAGCCACTAAATATGTGGCAATGGTAAAAAATGTATACAGGCCTTATCAAGCTATTTTCATTACTAAATCCGTTTCATTTATTTTTATCTAGACTTGATCCCTAACTTACCTCATCTCTGCATTCTGGGTCCATCCTCTGGACCCTCCCTTGTGGAGGACTCCAAAATCATGTGACATTCCAATCAATTACAGGAGCAGGCAAGGGAAGAGGAGGAAGGATAGGGCAGGGGAGAGCAAAGGATACACAGAAGCCAGCTCTGGAACCAGTAGACCACTACCCGACCCCAGGAGCATTTATTCTCCGTGCAAATCTGAGCAAGGAATGGGGTCACAGAGGGCCATAAGGGTGCCAGGTAGCAGTAACAATGCATGTGTGGCCTGGAATAACCATCCTCTTATCAGATGAACTAGAATCAACGTTTTTGTGCTGCCAGGAGAGCAGATCCAAGGAAATGCGGAAGGGTCACAGGAGGGTGCTCAAGGGCAACGCCAAGCCCCAGGGCCAGGTGTCCTGCCTTCTCCTTCCTGCCCTGCAGCGGCGGGCAGGGGCTCCGGGACAAGCCCCAGGGGATTACGAGGGGGGTTGGGACAGCTGGTGCTAGTGTGCCTCCTCCACCCCAGGTCCCCGGGATGGCCAGCTCTTCCTGGTCCCCTCTTTGCCCCCACATTCCCCGCCCCCTCGGACTGCAGTGAGGTGGCCTATCCCTAACAGGCTGTCCCGTGCGGCGTGGGATGCACGTGGCCCAGAGCCCTGCTTCCTCCCCACCAGGAGCAGGGGACTGTGTGGGGAGCGGCCAGCGGCCCGGTCCGCGTGGATTCTCACTTCCCCTCCCCAACGGCCGCGGGTGCAGGTGCCACGGGCGAGCGGGGCAGGCGGGGCGGGCCCGTGGTCACGCCCTCGCGCGAGTCCTCGCCGCCAGCCGCCAGCCGCCAGCCGCCAGCCGCCGGCCGGGAGGAAGCGCCAGAGCGCGCTGGTCCCCTCGGAGCCCGGGCGCCCTGTGGCCCGCGCTTGGGACACCGCCCGGCCAGCTCCGGGCGCCGCGGCGGGGCGCCGCGGCGGGGATGCGAGAGCGCCCGGGATGGCAGTCTCAGGTGGGTGGCGGGGCGCGCCCCGGCCGGATTCCGCTCCCGCGCCCACCCCCTGAGCGCGCCCCGGCCTCCGTCTGCGCTTCCAGGCGGGCGGCCGGGCTTCTTCCCCGTCCTAACTCTGCTCTCGGCCGCAGACTTCCTGCGACGACTTCGCTCCGGCCGCTGCCCGGGCGGCGGCCGTTCCTCCTCGGCTCCGCCCGACGCTGCCCCTCGGCGGCGGCGTCTGAGGCCAGCTCCTGCAGCTCCGGCTCCGCCGCCCTGGGGCTGGCTCCCCGCGCCCCCCGCTCGGCTCCCAGGTACCAGCTGAGAGCAGAGCAGAGCAGAGCAGAGCGGACGTGTCCGCCCTGGACCGTTTCTTTCGGGAGTGGGCTGGGATCTCCTCCGACCGACAGGGGGCGATGGGGTTAACCGTTGGCGGTGTCGGGAGATCACCCCCAGCGTGGACTCCCCGAGTGCCTTGCCGTCCCCCTTCGGTGTTGGGCTCTTCATCGGAATTTGGCTAGGAATCTGGGAACACTGTGACTACTTTTCTTAAATCTTTTCTAGACTGGGGCGAGTTGGTGGTCACTGGGGAAATCTCATCTACAGTAGACTTCTAGCTGGTTTTGGGTTGTGCTGGTTCTGGCAAGTTACTCGCTGAGATCTAGGACAAATCGAGAAAAATGACAATGGTCAGCGATAACCTTTACAGAGCACCCCAATGCATACTGAACACGAGTTATGGTCTCAGTGGTGACCTGTCTGTCAACAAGTTTATGATCTTGTGGACAGGGAATTACTAGATGAGAAGAGATAGCTACTATGTTTGCTTGCAAGTGGATTTACTTACATTTTCGTCGCCTACCTTACAGTGTGGTAGTAGAAATAGCATGTAGAATAGGGTGCCAATGCTTCTTTTTTTGGCCTTCTTTTATTATTTTATTATTATTATGTTTATTGGTACAGTTCATCATAGGAAATTTGGTGTACATCATATATTTTGAATCCTCTTTTTTCCCATTCCCCTCATTTACAAAATTTCTTTTCCATTTTATCCTTCCTTTCTCATTTTTTGTTTTCCTTTCCTTCCTTTCTCTCGCCCCTCCCTAGTTCCCCTTTCCTTTTGAATAATTTCTTCCTGTTTCACAATATCTATTGTACATTTTAGTTCTTATTTACACTTTCTAATTTCTCACATGAGAGAGATAATTCAATATTTGCATATTTGTCTGATTTATTTTAATTAAGAGTATGGTCTTAAAGTCCACCCATTTAGCTATATGTCTTGAGTTTATCTTTCTTTATGGCTGAATAAGACTTTGTATAAAAAAATCACTTCTTTATCCATTCATCAGTTGATGAGCATTCATCAGTTGATGGGTTGTTTCTAAAATTTAGCCAGTGCCTCCTGTAAAAGGACATGTAGTTAGTTGAGAGAAGATCCTATTCTTGGAGATTATGAGCAGATGCTAGAACGAAGAGCCAGTTTTTTCTAGACGTGCAGAAATCTAGCCTGATCATAGCATTTTGGAAGAGGAGTTGAAAAAGACCAAGGGTAATAGTTCTATTAGACTTGATGATACCAGTTCATTATTTAAGAGGGTGAGAAAATGGTTCACCTCAGCCTTGAGGCTCCCTATCTGAGCTGTGGAGGTTAGAAGAAGCTGTATGATGAATAAGGAGACTGGGTAACAGTAGGCTCATGGTCTACACATTGAATTTGAAAACCAAAGCAGAGTTCTGTAAGGGACTGGACCAATATTCATTGCATATTCACTGTTTTCAGGCACTGGGCTAGGTGTCCCGTGTACATTCAGTAAGCAAAGCAGACAGCTGTCCTGCCCCCATGGAGCTTACTGAGCAGGGAAGGCAGGCAGCACCCTCAAGGCAAGGGCCTGGAATGATAATGTGCTATGGAAAAGCAATGAGGAGGGGTCAGGGGATGAAGTTGCCAGAGTGGGCCTCATAGAGAGAGACATTTGAGCCAGGACCTGAGGAGGATATGGAGGGGACCATATGCAGAGAGTGCTCCAGGAAGGGGTGTGTAAGGCATGGAGTGTAAGGCGCAGGGTGGCTGGGGTAGGTGGGTAATGGAGGGGAGAGAAATGAGCTAGTGAAGCTCCCACCTTTTTGCATGTCTAGGGATGGGACGGGACTGCTATGTGCGGGCAACAGTAAATTGGGAAAGGTTTGGGCAGAGGAGACCAAGAAAATCACTTTCCTGCATCCAGTGTCCAGTGCATGATGCAGTGGGCATAGCTGAAGGGGTTTGCGGGTGGGCTTGGTCTAGATGGGGACCCTAGTGGAGGAACTGGGGTTTTATGTGGGCTGTGTAGGGCTTCCCCAGTCACATATAACGGTTACAGCTGTCAGGCCCTCTCTGTCAGCATCCTCTGCAGTGAGATAGCACTACAGCTGCTATAAGGAGAAGTTGCAACATGGGAAATGAGCTCCCTGAGACCTGGAGGTCCTGGGACCCATGAGAGCAGTCATAGTGGGGAGAATAATACCTTTTGCCATATAGTGTTGGCTCAGGGGTCACCCAGGCCACTCTGCTGGGTAGTCTCCTTATTTTAAAAGGAGTTTTACTTTGATATATTGACAAGCACTGCAATTTATCCATCAAAAGTATGTAATTCCATGCTTTTAAGTATTTTCCTAAGTATATATAGCCATCTTTACAATTTTAGAAAACTTTCGTCATCTCAAAAAGAAGAAAATCTGTGCTTGTTAGCTACTTTTCCTCTACTTCCTCTCCAGCCACATCTGCTTTTTTCTGTAGCTCTTCCTATGCTTTGTCTCTGCAGACTTTCACATTAATGGGATCATACAGTATGTATCTTTGATGCCTAGCTTCCTTCACATAGAATTTTTTCAGGGTTCACCCTATTGAAGTTTGTGTCTGTCCTCCATCCCCTTTGTTATCCTACTCCTCTAGTCTTCTTAAATTCCTTCTATTGGAGGGCAAGCCGTAGTCTTTTGTTTCCTCAAAGACATGTTTGCTTGGTGAAATCTTGGGAAATCTTGGCTTCTTGTCCTTGAAAGAACTCCGGATACCAAGCTAAAATGAAACAGAGTCAGCATATCTAGGAGTAATCTCAGGGATCTGACAGCATCTTGTGTGTTTTCACACGAAAGAGCAGAGATAAGCTGTGACTTTCCCAAGAGACCATGTCTGCAGATGCTGAAGACCGGGACCACCTCCTCCATGTGTTATCTCTAGTGATTTGAGAAGTTTTTATATCTTGTCCTGCTCATAGGGTGGAAGAGACTTTTAATTTTGGAGGATCTTAACTTCTGTCTGAACCTTGAGGTCTCTTCATGCTCTTACCAGTTCTCTAAATTTGAACACTTTCAGGCACAGACAATTCTGGATGTGGTTCATCACCAGATGACTCCCTATCCCACTCACTTTCCTGGTCTCACACTCTTTTATTGAAGACAGTGCTCAGATTCAGACATGGGACCTCAGGCCAGTGTCACCTGCAGACTAAAGAAATGGTTTGGGCTGGGTACTTGGAAAAGCTCCCTGTATTTTTTCTATTTTTTCTTTAACGGATTGGAACTCATTCAGTGTCATCTTTCTCTTTTGGTCACTGAGTTTCTTCCACCGTGGTGACTTCCTGCTCTCCTCAGCCAGCTCTTTTCTCTAATATTACTCATTCTTTTTTTTCTTCTATAGCCAAACCTGTTCTTCAAGCTTTGTTAGAACAAAGACCTTTTTTCAATTCTTTGTGGGGTTTATGAACTCCTTTTTGGTTCATGAATTTCATTTCTCTTGAACAAAACATGAGAGAAATGATTCAGAACACGGGGATAAATGATTTATGGTTAAAAGAAGGAAATTATCATTGAAGAAAGGGGTGTCCCGCACTCCAGGGAGAACCGCTGACCATGCCTTTAGACATGTATCAGCACCTTGCATGTCAGACAGGAACTTTAACTTCCACTTTGGAATTTTTTACAACTTCCCCAGTGTTCAGTTGCAGCACAGTAGTGATGTCCAGGAAGCTGGCAGATTTCATTGTCCTCTTTTACACTGAGGACAAATTTGCCTAGACTTAATATATTGGTCTAAGTAACAGTGCAAGTTAGTCAACAAACAGATTGCTATATTAAGTAATCCGAGGCACTAACTACTTCCTTCTCAAATACTCTTGTTCAAATCAGGTTTAATTTACTATTGAAACACCAGGGATGAACTATTTCAAATAGCTGTTTTCTGTATAGAAGAGGCTAATTTCCTAATTGTTGCTTCTACTGTATTTGGGGGAATGATAACTAAAAATTGAACTCAGGACCTCACACTTACCATGCAGGCACTGTGCCATTGAGCTGAATTCTTTGCCTGTCAGTTGTATTTTTAATAATTGTTTGTTTTAGGAAAGTTTTGTATTTCATGAAAATCTGCAAAGACACTAAAGAGAATTCTTATATACTTCACGCCCCAATTCCAATTTCTTCTATTAGCAATTTACTCAGACTTTCTTAGGTTTTTTTTTTTTTTTTTTTTTTGAGACAAGGTTTCACTATGCAGTTCAGGCTGGCCTTAAACTCACTGTAATAGCCTAGGCTGGCCTCAAACTTGTGATAGTCTTCCTGCCTCAGCCTCCCAGAGGCTGGGATAATAGACGTGCACTACCATGCCAGGCAAGTAACTTTGACCACAATGTCCCTTTTTCTGTTCTAGGATTCTAGATTCTATGTTATATTTAGTAACAATGCTTCCTTAGTCTTCTGGCTGTGATTTTCTCTGATTCTCTGGTTTTGATGAGCTCACCAGTCTTGAGGAATACCAAACAGTGATTTTGTGAAATGTTCCTCAACTGGGATGTGTCGGGTATTTTTCTTTTAATTAGGCTGGGGCGATGGGTCTTGGGAAGGAAGAGGGCAGAGGTAAACTACCATTCTTATCACAGGCTGTCAAGGGTATGCGCTGTCAACATGATCTATGGCTGCTGATATTGACCTCGATCACTGGGCTACGGCAGTATCTGCTAGATTGCCCCACCAAGAGGTTTCCCCTTCTCTCTCCTCCTCCATACAGTGCTCTTTGTAAAGAACGCACCACCCAGCCCACCTGCTTAGGAGGAGTTGTGTTCCACCTCCTTGAAGGTGGAGTTATAAAATAACTGAAATTCTTATACATGGCAGACTTGTCTCTTTCCCCCAGTTTATTTACACAGTCATTTAATGATATCAAGCAACACAGCACCTACCCAGCAAGCATGAGGTCATGAGTCTAACTCCCTCCTCCAAAAAGTGCTAACATTTAATGATATCAGTGTGGACTTCTGGATACTTACACACTGGTTATAATTCAACATTACAATTTATTATACTTCAATATTACAATTTATTTTATTGCTTATAGTATGTCAGCATTGGCCATTAGGAGCTCTTTTCAGCGACCCTGGTGTCCTTTTTGACATATGTCTGTCATATTTTTATTTGAACTCTTACTTTCTGGTACTGTAAGATGCTCCATGCTTATTTTATATATTTTATGCACCTCACATACAATCCTAGAATCATTCCTAGAATTACTCATTTATGTAAGGACCCCTAATTCCTTTTGTTGGAAAATGATACTTGAAACTAATAGTACTTTAAACGAGTTTTAATTGTATTTCTAAACTAGTCTGCATTTCCTTCACCTTTAAAATGGGACACAACTTAGAAATTAAGGGCATAGTTTTATAGTTGTTGGGTCTGAGTTCAAATCCCTTATCTGGTACTAAAAATATGATTTTGGGCAGCAGCTATCTTCAACCAATTTTAATAGCTAAGTTGATAAAGTACAGCCATGAAAAGTATGTATTTTGTAGGATTGTTCTGAAGGGGGAATTAAAGCTGAATTACAGTGAAACTTTCCTTGATGACTGAATCTTGAATGAACAGCAGGTGTTGTGATATGCTGTTAAAAGAGCAGTAGGGAAGCAGTGAGAAAGGACTCAAGGTTAAAGGAGTACATGTAACCTTTTGTGACTCAGGAACTCTCCATCTTATGGCTTGGATCTATCAATCTTTCTCATAAAACTGGAGCAATTGCTCATAGCCTGTTTGTCTTACAGGGAGTTACAGTTGTTCCTTTCTGCTAAGTCAGCCAGTACTCAGAGATTCACATTGTCTTCATGAATGTACTTCTCATGTTCCAGGAACTCCTCCTCCTCTTCTTCACTTTGCCATCGCTTTCAACCCTGCTGAAGACATTATTGTTGGGTTCTTTGTCATTAGGGTATGGTAGCACTGCTGCCCTGTCCTGACATCTTATTCTCCTGACCTTTGCACAGATTATTGAGTAACTGTGTGTTTGGAAAGGAGGCTGTGGCTAAATTTCTCCTTTTTGCATTTTAAATGAATTCCAAGTATGATATCGCTAACACTATCTTGTACATTTCCTACCTGGTGGCTACATTAACACTTCACATTTAGAACATTGTGCCTTTTAGTGTAAACCAGCTACATAGGAAAGGGGAAAACAAAAAAGGTAAATACCTTCTGACACTGTAACTGCTTTTCTGTGTGTACCTTCTATAGTTGTGTAGCATTGTTATTTTTATGCCTTCTGTAGTGCTGAAATCATTTTTACTTTGAGACATAAAAGAATGTTTTACATTGAAGGAAAAAAAAAGACCCAGTTAACAAAGATTTTATTTTGTGGAGGTATACAATCGGTACATTAAAATTTTGTCCTTAATCTGCTTAACCTCTGAGATCATGGTAAGCATTACTGAAAAGGATTGTTGTCTTTACAACTGAGGAAACAGACTGTACTTGAAATTGAGTTCTTGGCAGAGCCACAAATTCTATAGCATCACAAGAATCACTGTTTTTTCTCCAGTTCCCTACTCTCTCTTAATACTGACTGCTTTAATTATGTGTGCCTATGTTATGGTTGTGTCTAAGTGTTCCCCACTAAGTCTCGTGCAGTCATAGGGCTTTTCAGAGATGGCTGATTTGTGGTCCATTGATTCATGGTGCAATGCTGGGATTAAGGGTGCTGGGATTAAGGAGTGGGTGATTGCTGGATTAGTCAATTGATTAGATTGGCACCATATTAATCCCAGTACACTGGATATAGCATAAGGGACAAAAGTGCTGTTCTCCTGCTTCTTTAATTGCGTTTGCTGTCTTCTGCTGCTCTGAGCTGTTGCTCCTTTGCCATGGGTCACCATGCTTTGGAGTCAGTCACTTATGGCCTGAAGCCCCCACAAACTGTGAACTAAACAAACATTTCCCCTCTTAACTTTGAGTCTCAGGTGTTTTGTCTCAGCAGTGAAATAAGGGACTGCCTCCAAAAGTATTTCCAGTCAGATCAGTTTACTCTTGCTGATCAGACTATTGGGTTTTATGTCAGCACTAGATTAGAGACCCAACAAAGCAATTCTTCATAAAAGAATTGAAGTATAAACTTTTATTTGTACTCTTAGGAAATTTTTGGTAATTTCTTCCAGAGGAAATCAGAATTTTTTTAAGCTTACATTTTCAATTTTTAAAAATCTTTGACTATAGTAGTGGATGAGGGCAGGAAAGAGGATTTCTTCCATGATTTCTCAGAGCTCAGAGCCTCAAAGTCTTGCCCTGATTCTGCACCTGATCTTCTTGCCTGGAATCATGGTTTACGGTGAATATTTAATTGCAAAATTCTCAGTTTCACAAGATGTAACCAGCTTCTTACAGGGGAAGGCAAGATTCCTGATGCACTATAGGATGCACAGACACTTTGTGCTCGCCCCTTTCAAATCACTCACAGAAGAGTTTTACAAAGTGGCGGAAAGACAAGGACCTAGACCTGTAGTAATAGTTAAGATCCAGGTTTTGTTGGAATATATGACTCATTTCTCATAAGATCCTTGGCAGAATTCCCAGTGGGAAATAACAGAGTTGGGGCAGAAGACTGGACTGGAAACCCAGAGCAAGCCTAAGAGTTCACTTTGGATCCACTGTTAATTTTCTGAGTGTGAATTTGAGCAGATCCTGTAATCTTCCCTCACAAGTATTTTGTCTCTAAATGAAGAATTTGGGCCAAGTGATCCCTCAGATCCTCTTTTGCCTCTCTTTCTGACATTTGTTCTTTATTTGAGAAAGACGAAAGGGGAAGTCATAGATTACGTATTGGAAGGGGTGCCTGAAAACTAGTGTGGCATAGGTCAGCCAGTTCCTTTTATGGTATTGCATTGTTTATGTGAGTGTGAGGATCATGAGATACAAGCTACCAATCATTGAGAATTTTCTACATATTAAGCTCTATGTTAGCACTTTACAGGAAGTATCTAATTTAGTTCTTGCAAATCACTGAGAAATATTGCCACTGTGATGCACCCCAGGGAAGAGAACCAAGAAGAAGCCAACCCTTTCCTGTGAGCCAGCGGCAGTTATAGGCTGGGCCAACCCCTTGCTGTGGGCTGACAGGTGCAAAGACTGGGAGACAAGAGGTGCTGAGATTTCTCAGCTCCCTCTTTCCCCTGCCTTGTGGGTACCCAACTGATCCTGAGGGGCACAGTGTGAGATGATAGCTACTGAAGTGAAATAACAACTTGATTCCTCACTGTTTGATTGACTTTGCAGCCTGAGGCTGGTGGTCTGAGCATCTGTTTAAAGGATAGCAGCATACAATGTAGCATCTCGCGGGGAACTCCTTCTGAAGGTGCTAGCCATTGTTAATTCTCTATTTTCTTGTTTTAAAGTCCTGCATCATTTTCATTATTTTGTTTTATTTGATTTTATTCTGTTTTGTTTGATTTTATTATATCTGATGGCATAGGCAGCTGTTTTAAAGATAACAAGATATCTTATGGTAGCCATTGTTGATTTCCTTTTATCTTGTTTTGGAATCCTTTATTGTTTTGTTTTGATTGGTTTTATCCTGTTTTGTTTTGTTTGATTTTATTAGGTCTGATAGTATGGGCAGCTATTTTGATGATAACAAGAGGCATTATGGTAGCCATTGTTGATTTCCTATTACCTTGTTTTGAAGTCCTGTATCACTTTCACTATTTTGTTTTGATTGGCTTTATTCTGTTTTATTTTGTTTGGTTTTCTTCTCTTTAAAAATAAATAAATAAAAAATTATGCAGAATCAAAAAAAATTGCCACTGTGTTTCTGTTTACAGATAATTAAACTGAGGTTTAAAATATTTAATTTACTCAGGATTGCACAGCTGTGGCAAGAGCCATGCGTCCAACTGTGTCTGACACCATACATGTGTGCCTAACCACTGTTTAGGACAGAGCTAGGCTCTGGGTCACATCAAGTCTGAATTTAAATTCTGACTGCTATGTGAATCTTGGATAACTTACTTGCTTAACCTGTCAGATCTCAGGTTTCTCATTTGTAGAATGGGCCGCGAGTGAGATGTTCCTTAAAATGTTGTTGTGAGGGTTAAACGAGTTTACTGGGCTATGTCCTTAAAAGGCTGGCTGGCACAGTGAGCTCTGTATGTGTGTGCCGTTACTACTGTTACTAGTGCTATGACTGTTGCTGCCATCCTAGACCCGCTAGCTGTGGGGCTGAGGGGGGCAGCACAGCAGGTGCAACATCTGCGTCTGCAAAGACCAGAAACAAGGTGACATGTTTGGGGAAAGCCAGCGTGGCATGGCTGGTAGCTCAGTGTGTCCAGTGAGGGATAAACCAGATATGCTGCAGGCAAAGGAATATTGTGGTGCTAGGCTCCTCATCTGGGCGGTGTGTCTTTTGGGGAGCTTTCCACAGAAACCAGTGTGTTAACAAGCCTCCATGCCTCCTCTCACCCAGGGGTGTCCCGAAGATGCGACATCCTCACTGTCTACAGCCCAGATGCCGAGGAATGGTGCCAGTACCTCCAGGACCTCTTCCAGGCCAGTCGGCAGGTGCGCACCCAGAAGTTGCTGACGCACAGGCTGGGCCCCGATGCCTCCTTCTCGGCCGAGGACCTGCTCCTCTTCCTGGGCGCCCGCTGCGTGGTGGTGCTGCTCTCGGCCGAGTTGGTGGAGCACTTCTACCGGCCGGCGCTGCTGCCGCTGCTGCAGAGGGCGCTGTACCCGCCACACCGCGTGGTGCGGCTGCTCTGCGGGGTGCAGGGAGCCCAGGACGAGTTCCTGCCCTTGTTTCCGGACTGGGCCGACTGGCAGGAGCTGACCTGTGAAGATGAGCCCGAGGCCTATGTGGCCGCGGTGAGGAAGGCCATTTCAGAAGGTGAGGTTTCCTCTGGGGGAAGCAGATCCCAGGCATGCAGGCAAGGCATCTTTGACGTTAGGCCTGTACCTTACTATCAACCAGGAGGGAGCTCACTGGTGAGAGCGAGACTGGTCATAGTTCCAGGTTTAGAGCAGCTGATTTCTGGGATAGGGTAGTATTCTCTACTGCCAGAGAGAAAAAGGACACTCCCATGTATTCTATGTTAGGGGGAAAAGGCTTTCTTTCTAGAATTTTCTATGCATTGAATAACATGGGCACAAGGTTCCAGGGAGAGGGTGGCAGAGATTTAGTCTGTGTGTGTGTGAGGCATGCGGCCACCAACCCTCCTGCCTGCATGCTGCTTCCATCTTATCCTCATATAACCTCAGCATTTGTGTTATAAAGGTGTCACTTTGGGTGACATGTGTATAGAAAACAACCCTCTTCTCAGTTCCCCATCAGTCTAGTTTTGGGCTTTTGTGCTGCTTCTCCATTTAAAGTGGAAACATTCCAAATCCTTTCTGACAAGGCCAGTGACTTCAGTGACCCCAGTAAGTGTGACACACACTGATTAAAACAGTAGCAGAAGATTCACTGTGGGATTCATGCATGTCACAGCATCTGTTCCTCTTTTGGTTTTCTATTTTTGCCTCACTGTGGGCTGAGTAGGCTGCATATCTATTGTCTGTTCTCTTGCTCCTGGAGGTCATATATACCTGACATTAGCCAAGAAGCTTAGAAAAGTATAGGCCCAATTTAAGAGTGCCTCAGTGCTCCCAGGTGTGACTTGGGCATTATTTTGCTCACTCACCCATCCATTTGATGTGCTGAATCAAGGACTTACTAATTCTCAGTGCCCTTCAAAAGGCAATATAGGCCGGGGTTTTAGCTCAGCCGCATAAGCACCTGCCTGGCAAGTGCTAGGTTGTGAGTTCCATCCCGGTATTAAAAAAAAAAAAAAAAAAAAGACAATATAAGTTGGTCATGGTGGCACATGCCTATAATTCTGTGGGGCTGAGGCAGGAGGATCACAAGTTTGGGCCCAGCCTGGGCCACTTAGGATTTAGGGAGACCTTGTTTCAAAATAAAAAACAAAATTGAAAAGGGCTGAGGGTATAATTCAGTGCAAAGGCCTGGGTTCTATCCCCAGTATAAAAAAAGAAAAAAAAAAGGAGCTATTACTTCTTAGGTGCTTTTATCGGAGGAACAGGCTGCTCTAAACCAATAGAAGTGACCAGATGTCTTAACATAGTGAAAACCAGCTGGGCGTGGTGGCCTGTGCCTGTAATCCTGGTACTCAGGAGACTGAAACAGGAGGATCATTTCGAGTTCAAGACCAGCCTGGGTTACAAACTGAACTCAAGTTCAGCATGAACTGCATAGTGAGACCTTGTCTCAAAAAGACCAAAAGAAAAAAAAAATAGTGAAAACCTTTCTCACTTTTTGTACAGAAAACTGATGCTCTTGCAAAAGATGTCTCACCTGAAATGGTGGAGACCTGAGTTAGTTATTTTTTTTAGAGTTTTATTATCTTTATTTTAGAAGGATACAAAGATAGAAAAAGCATAGGACCCAATGTATGGTTGAATTTCCTTGCTTTCAGGGAGCTGTGATCTACCCAAACTTACAAAGAACTGAGGCACAACTGGGTGTTCACTTCGCAGCAGCAGTCCGTTATGATTTTGAGGGCAGGCTACTGTGACCCACCAACTAGTCATTCAAAGCTCTGTGGACATATTGTCTGTATATTGAAACCTCACACTGTATACTGTAACAGATTGTTCTTTAAAATAATGGTGGTGAGATTTTATAAAAGAGATAGAAAAGAGCTGTGGTTGTAGCTAATAGTAGTGTATAGTTAGCATGTATGAGGTCCTTAGCTCAATTCCTAGCACAAAAGAGAGAGAGAGAGCATAGTAAAAAGGATTTTAATATTTTAAAAAGTCTTTTTTAATATTTTTGGATATATCTAATGAACAGGTGCCTACATAAACTGATCTGCTAGTATTTTACTTTTTCTAAAGACTCTGGCACAGTATGCTGTGAACTTTTAGTTTCAAGTATTCTAGAAAGAATGAAATATTTCCCAGTGGTATTTCTGCTCTGAAAGCAAATAACCTCTCATCAGAAACAGATTATTTTAATGGGGGATTAAAATAAGCTGCTTAGGGAGAAGTTGCTGCAGTTCAGAGTCAATGGATATAAAGACAAATATAAGAGAGAGAAGAGGAGGAGACTTATATTAAAGATGGTTACAGGTAGTCAGTTATACTTTAAACAAATGCTTCTCAAACTTTCAAAGGCCTGGGGATCTTGACCAAATGCACATTCCAGCTCTAAATGTCTGTGTAAAGACCAAGATCTATGGGGTGTTTTGTTTTATTTAGTTTTTGTGGCACTAGGAATTGACTCAGGGCCTCTGTACTGAGTTACATATCCTGACCTTTTATTTTTTATTTTCAGACAGGGTCCAACTAGATTGCCTAGACTGGGCTCAGACTTTGCATCCTTTTGCCTCAGCCTCCAGAGTGCTGGAATTATAAGGCACCCACCATTGCACTTGGCATGAGAATCTGTGTTTTTAATAAACTACCAGTGCTGCTGCTGAGGGTCTAGGCTCCTCTCCCTTGTCAGTGGTCATGTACTTCTGTACATGAACCATCTTCTCAAATCTCCAGTTTATAGGAAATGGAAGGCAGCTTGTGGACACATGTTGGCTTAGGTATAAAGTTAGACCAGTGTTTGGTGGTTAGGCCCTTAGACTTCAGGTTAGATTCCCTGAGTTCTCTTCCTCTGCTCACAGGCTCAGTGTGTCCACTCTGAGAGCTTGTAATTTCTCAGCTCTCTGGGCATATGTGGCCCTGGCATTGGGATGGGGATATTATTGCCACCCATATGCCTACTCTGTCATTTAATGGGCCACTTGATGATCCTTACTATTTCACTAGAAAATGTTTAAGGGGTTTTATTTTATTGTCCATCCCCCTATCCAAATTTGGCAGCCACCTTAAAATTGAATAGATATTTTAATTGGAGTCCTCAGTATGTTGCAGCAGGCAGTTTATTTCCTAAGTTCTTCATCTGTAAAATGATGGGATTCAACTAGATGATTTGGAAGGCTTTGCCCAGCCCTGTGTGCTGTAATGTATCATTAGAAGTTTCTTAAGAAGATGGCAAATTACACAGAAACTTTTGACTGATTTCATTTTGTTCCAAAATGCCTGGAGTGACATATACCAGTGTGTTGCAGGCTGTACTATTGTTCTGAGTTTCTTGGGCTTGTTGGGTAATTATTTTCAAATAAGGAAGTGAAAAAAACCCCAGGTACAGCATAGCACAGCAAATATTTCCTCTTTTACTGGAGATCTATTCTTTGCTGCAAATCTCACTGGACTACAAAAATAGATTCTGTGAGACTGTGTGAGAAAGGACTCATTGGGTGACATTCAGCTTTATTTTATTTTTTATTATTTCTGGTCCTGGGGATCAAACTCATGACCTTGCACTTGCCAGACAAGTGCTTATGGCACCGAGCTAAATCCCCAGCATCAGCTTTATTTTAAAAGTTCTTGTTTGACTCTTTTAAACCCAGTTATGTGGAGGCTGAAGCAGGAGGATTGCAAGTTCATGACCAGCCTGGACAACATAGTAAGACCCTGTCTCAAAATTTAAAAAATAAAAATAAAAAAGGAGTGGGGGTGTAGTTCAGTGGGAGGGTGCCCCGGGGTTCAATCTCTAGTACTGAAAAAATTTGTTTCATCCATGTGCTAACAAGTGTGTGCACATGTGTGCAGGAGTGCTGGGGTGGAGGGAGCACCAAACCTCCTTGTCCCCTGTGATTGGTATCACTGTGGAGATCTGTTCTGCTTTTGGCCTTATTCTATGCTTACTAGCCTTGTCCCTCCCCATGCTGTTTGGATTTCAGGAGGTCTGTTGGTACTTAAAATTACAATGTACTTTGCCTTTGGTTCCGATGGGTAAATTTTAGAGCAGTGTGCCCACCTTTGGCCTTACTTTGTTGATATTAATTTTCTAATCTTAACATTAAACTGGAGTTTAAAAGAAAAACAATGGGTATTTTCAAAACACCTTCAGAGGATCAATGAACCCTCCAAATCTTTTCCTAAACTTATTTATTTGTGTTTCCCATTTTATTGAAATATAATTGACAAATAAAAATTGAATATATTCAAGAAATACAATGCAGTGATAAAGAATAAATTTATATTGTGAAATGATTGCCACCATCAAATGAATTGGCAAATTCATGACCACCATAGTTGCCATTGTGTGTGTGTGTATGTGTGTGTGTGTGGGGGGGTAAGAATAAGAGTTGTACTTGTTCTAGTCTCCTCTTAGTTTCAAGTAAATTACATAGTATTATAAAAATATGGTATTATAAGTTATTGTCACCATCCTATGCATTATACCCCCAGAATTTATTCATCTTATAACTGAAAATGTAAGCCCTTTGACCGGTGTCCCCACTTTCTTTTCCTCCCCACTCTGGCGGCTACCACCATCCTCTTTGCTTCTGTGAATCTGACATCTTTGGATTTCGCATATAAATGAGATCATGTATTGTTTGTCTTTCTGTTTATTCCACTTAGCATAATATTCTCCAGGCTCATCCATGTTGTCACAATGAAAAGATTTCCTACCTTTTATGGCTGAGTAATAATTTTCTCTCGTAAAATTTTTTGTGTAATATATTACACAGTACTAGAGATTGAATATGTGTGTGTGTGTGTGTGTGTGTGTACTGGGGTTTTAACTCACAATCTTGCACTTGCCAGGCAGGTGCTTAGGCCACTGAGCTAAGTCCCCAGCCCTTTTTCTGTAATTTAAAAAGTAGCATTTTTCCAAAATAATGTTCATCACAATTTTAAAAAAGAAAACAAAATTACTTGTAGTTTTAAATTTTTTCCTTTTGATAAATAGTGTTGAAGTAAATCTTCATGGGCTTTGGTCTGTCTGTGAATCTGTTCTCTCCTAAGTCACATCTTGTTAGAGCTCTG